CTGCTGACTTTAATTTGGGGGTCACCCCCCCGGGTGAGCGGGGAGGCGGGGGGGGTCCTGGCAGCGCGGGGTCCAGCCAGCGGGTGCCAGGCTCGTCCCTGCTGCGGGCTGTGGGCTCTGCCGGGGGGCCGGTACCCCCCAGGTGCCATCATGGGCGATCCCGGCTGTGGGGCACAGCCCCCCTGCACCCCTGTTCCCGTCCCCTGACCACTGCCAGCGGCGTTTGCCGGTGACTCATTGCTTGCACCCAAATCACCCTTTTTTGCTTTAACCTCCGGGGCTGGAGCGTTTCCCCACGGCGGGGGCTGAGCCCACGGGTGAACCTGGGCCACAGCCTCGGAGTGAGGGGCAGCGGGACACGCCGTGCCCACAGCAACTCCCCACCGCGTCTCGCTGGAGGGACGCTGCTCACCGCGGGCTGTCCCTACCCGTCCCCACCGGCCATGGCTGAAAAAATACCGGGGGGGGCCAGTTTTCCCGTGGGAGCACCGGGGAAGGGGCTCCGTGCGCCCCTCGCCAGCTTGAGGCACCGAAAGGCTCTCGCCTGCCTGAGGCGGAGGAGGGCTGGGAGCCGTGGGGACGGGGACGCCTGCCAGCCCTTCAAATAGCCCCGTGGGGGCCACTAAAAATAACCCCGCGAGGGGCAGCCCGGCTCGGGTTGCTGGCAGGAGGCTGACCGCAGCCCCGGAGAGGCACGGCGAGAGGTTTTAGGGTGCTCCCGTACACCCGTTTTCCCCTGCGGGGTGCAGGGGGGCACAGGGGGACGGCGCCTGGGTAACGCTTGCAAGCCAAGGCAGCCCTGTTGCAAGCCCTCGGTGGCCATCGGGGTTGGCGGCACCCGCAAATCTCCCACCCGGCGTGCAACGCGCCGAGCGGCGGCTCTTGGTATCGAGGGGGAACCGAAAAAAAAAGCGATGGGGCCGTGCCCATCCGCCCGCCGGGGCCGCCGCCGTTGCCTCAGCAAATTGCCAGTTGCGGCACGACGTGGGCCGGGGCCGCACCCCGGCTTTCCTGGGTGTTTCACGACCTGTTTTCCAGGAGGAGATTAGCGAGATGGAGCAGCTGGGGCAGAGCGAGCCCATGACCCAAAATCGCTCGGATCCGGGTGCTTCCAGGCTCCTCACCACCTTCCCTCGGCCTCTCCGGTCCCTTTCCCTGCTGTCCCTGTCTCCCTGGATGCTCTGGAGCATCCCTGCTTGCAGCGTTGGGGTTCTCCAGGTTCGGGGGGATGCGCAGCCTCTCCCCCATCTCTCAGCCGTGCTGGCGAGCTTGGTCCTTGCTGTAAAATAAGGGGGGCTCTGCTCTTGCTGCTGCCCTCACCCCCCGCTGGGAAACCTCACCCTGCTGCAAGGCGTCGGAGCTCGTGCTCATTTTCCACGTTTTTTTCGGATGAACTATTGTCTCTGGCATCCTGTTTGTCCCGGCGAGTTTCTGGGGCAGGGAAGAGGGTGTCTGGTTTTGGCAGCTGCGGCCGCTTCGGGCAGCTGCGGCGTTGCAGGAATAGCAGGCAGGGGTGGTGCTGCCTGCCTGCCCTTACCTCCTACCTGCCCACCTCTGCTGCCAGGTCTGGCAGCAGCTGCCCCTCGCCCTCTGGGCACCGGCATTGATTTGGGCAGAAAGCCCGTGCCGATCGATGAGGGAAGGTATAAATAACCTGCTCCGAGGTGATGGTTTTAATGGACCCCACTTCGTGCTTATTTATTTAAATAGCTGAGGGAGTTCCCGTCGGTGATCTGGTGATCACCTGGAGAGGCAAGGATGGGACGGGACGGGACGGGACGGGGGCCTGACGCTGGCCCCGCTCTTGTGGCCGTTCACAGCACCTTTCTGCCTCCGCTCCTGCAGCTCTAACGGGAGAGCCCGGCGCTTGGCTTCAGAGCCACCGGCTGCGTGCGCTGATGGCGCTGGCGCGGGTCCTCGGGCGCCCGGTGAGGTGGCTGGGATGAGTCGCAGCCTTTCCCTCCCCTCTGCTGGGCAGTTACTGTCTCAAAAGGCATCAAACGTCGAAACCTCAGTTGCTCGGTCAAGCTCAAACCGGCCGGTGGGTTCCCCCGTGACGAGCAGCGGTGTGACCCACGGACAGTCTCACTGTTTGAGGCTGACACCTGACAGCCAGCCAGACGGACAGCCCACAGGACGTGAGCTGCAGGTGGCTGTGAGCGGCTCAAAGGCGGCAGCTGTGGCTCTGTGCGGTGGGGAGCCCCGGCCCGGTGCTGCCCCCCGGGCTCTCCCCCTGCCCGCGGCTCTCGGCCGGCCCAGGTCGGGCTGGGAGTTCCTCTCTCCGACACAGCCCCCTGCACCCCAGCGGCTCCCAGCGCCCGGGGCGAGGAGCGGCCGACCAGGAGACCTGGCTTTTCTCAACCCGACAACAGGCCTGGGCGTAATGAGCAGGGGTATGCCGACTGGGCAGCTGCCGGAGCGTGAAATTAAAGACTCTTAATTAGCGAAGGGCTGGAGCAATGAAGAAAGTAAAGCATGGGGTTAGCAGGCGATGGCCTGGCTTCGCTCCCAGCCCCGCCACTGACTCACTGCAGGGCCTGAGGGGAAGCTCCGGCTTCGGCTCCGTCCTTCCCTCTGCAAGTGGCTCCGGCGGCTGCCTCGCACCGGGGCTGGGGACCTGCGAGGGCCGTGGGCGAGTGCGGGGTAGGGCGGTGTTTAGACGGTGTTACCGGCCCGAGGGGCTGCGGAGGCCCCCGGGCCGCGCCCGGGGGGGGGGGGGGGCCGGGGGGGCCTGGCCCC